AAGGATTCACACTGAGATTGGTATCCCCGTATTCTTCCCAACCTTAATTACCCCTAGCCAAATACATACAAAAGAAAAGGAGAAAAAAAAAATCCAAAAAAGAAAAAAGAGTTCTAATCAATTCCACAATTAAAACATAGGGAAGAAAAGAACCCTGGAATTGCCTAATAAGAAAAGAGAGGAGGGATTGCCTTGAAACTCCTCTCTCAATCCAAAAAAGATTCTGGCCATCTTATTAAGAGATCGAAAATCAATCAAAAGTTTGGAAAAAAGAAATCCATTAGTTTGGCATCTAGAGGATAATAAGCCAAATAAAACTGGAAGATCAGGATCATCTTTGATGATTATTATCAATCTCTACATAAATAAAAGAATTAGAACAGAACATCCAATTAAAATTGAAAATCAAATCATCCACAGAATGGTAGAAAGCAAAGCCAAACCTACCTCTAATATATACATCATTGTCACTAAAAATACCAACTATCATCCAAAATCCTGCAATAGACAAACAAATCAACCATAAGCAAAAGGGAAAAAAAAATCCATGCACGTACAGACAAAACAATAGATCAGACTAAGAAAAAGTTTCGCCAGTTCTATGAACACAAAAACATACATCAAGCAAAACAGGGAAATCTTGATCTGCAAAACGTATAATGAATTCTAACCAAGAAGCCACCTATGAAAGAAAAGGTAGGATGCTAACACATGCTATAGAAATCACTTCTCCATTATAGCTGTTTCTACAAATAATTAAAAAAGGGGAAAAAAAAAAAAGAAAGAAAAAAAATCTAGAGCAAGTAGTCTTAAAAACCTAAATAAATTAGTCAATTAATAGTAAGTTAAAAAAAAAAAAAACAAGAAGAAATATCAGATGCTACTTTAATGATCATATCATAAGTTCATAGAGGTCATTATGTAAATCATCTCTCATGAGTCACATGCCGCACCTCTATGCATTTTTTCTAAATTCACACTTAAAAAGGAAACTAATTTAATTGCTTTTTATTATAGTGATTCAAAGTGAAAATTGAAGAAAGCTAAACCTAAGAAGCTTACCATTCAAAGAACCAAAAGAATGTTGCAACCTCCAAAGAAGAGATAGAAGTAAATCTAGAAAAAATGAATTTCGATTCAAAAAAAAAAAAAAAATGCAGAGATTAAACTATAGCTGTATATAAATGCTACCTGATAAAGGCTTTCAATTGATGGCTTTAGCAATATGAAACCATGAGAAACAAATAAGATTAATTAGAATGAAACACAAAACAAAGTTTTGAGAAGGAAAAACAAACTTAAATTTGAGGTCTTTTATAATGTGAAATACAATCAAGCTTCTTTATACTGAAGGCAAAGAAACTCTAAGAAAATAATTCTCCTATATGAATATAAGAGCCCATTTAAGAGAAAATTCCAAATGGGAGTATTAGGTGACCAAGAAACTTTTCATTCAAACTGAAAACCATAAAAAATAAAAATAAAAATAAAAATAAAAATAAAAATAAAAATTATGCATATATCAATAAGAACATGTTTAAAAGCATTAAAGATTATCAACACATGACATTTGAGAGGCATTAATCTGCCTAGTGTTTTGAAAGATGAACTCAAAGTGATCACCACAGGGGCAAATGACTTTGAATTTCCTTGTTACTCAACCAGAATTGAATGATAAATAACACCGTGAGCTCAAAATTTAATCTACAACCCAAAAACCTTAATTAAATGGACAGTAGCAATTAAAAGGCCATTGATAACAAAAATCATAACAACATAAACCTGGTTCATTTGTAAAAAAATTAATTTTTATTTCCAAATCAAAATTTAGCACCTTAGACAAATGATGACAATCAAAATTGAACAATAAGATCTACTTTTCATTTTCAAATCCAAATTTCTACTTTCCTTGGTAATGATGGCTCATTTCTTCCTTCTCTCTAGAATTCATTTTCACTGCCACTAATTTCCCCAATACTGCCTTTGACGTATTGTAGATGGAGTCATTAATTTCAAAGCAAATAAACAACATAAAAACTGAATTTGCGGTGAATATCAAATACCCTAAACAATACATTAAGAGAACAGTACGACATTAAAGACATGATGGGAGCGCACAGTTACATAATATCTGCAAACAGAAAACATAACAGAGTAAAAATAACGACTCTGTAAAGAAAGACGAAGGACAGAAGCAGCCATGATCGGAGCTATAATGGAGCTTTGAGAACTGGATTGTTTAAGCCTAGGGTTTTAGAGAAAGGTTAAATTTTTTGAATTCAAACTTTATCTTCTCAGTCTTAGCAACTCCCTGGACTGCCTTTCCAATAAAAATGTCAAGTAATTTGTCTCAAATCATACTATCTCCTAGATCACGTATTAAAAACCCTATACACGAGCATGATCATAACCCAAAGTAAAAAATATATATATTGCCAAATCCCCAATCAAAGAACCCTACACAAAAGATTCCAATTTTTCTGAAAATACACTCATTTTATAAATCGACGAAATTAAAACCAATAAAGCAAGGAATTTGCGGAGATAAATGAGAATTTCTAACCTCTTGAATGGCTTAATTGTTGAAAAGAATGGAGTCGATGAAGATCTTCGTGGGGGAATTACTAACCACCAAAATTGTATCTTTCTGCAGTGGAAAGTTCAAAGGAATTTCGATTTTCTTCTTTGAAGTCTACAACTGTTATTTTTGTTAAAGTGGAGTTTGTTTGAGATTAGGGATTTAGAAGGTGGATGCAAAAATGTAAGGGAAATGAAAGGGCAGACTGTAGAGGAAAAAGGAAGGAAAGGGCTTTATGGAGGTGGGAGCCGGGAAGAAGATGCAAGCGTGTAAAGGACAAAGGAAGAAAAAGCGAAAGACAAAAAACGGGTTTTTTTAACCACACATATTAACATATAATTATTGTACCTTTTTTTCACATTAATTATTATTTTAAAATATAAAATTTAAATTTTATTTAAATAATTATTTAATTAAAATAATTTATGTGATATTAATAGTAAAATTAATAATAATTTTATATTTTTTACGATAATTAATATAAATAAAATATAATAAATTATATTCTTAATTTATACTTGTTAATCTACATGTTAAACAAACAATATAAATAAATAAAATTTACTGAGCACAGAACCATAACACGTTAAAAAGAATGAGTTAAATTAGGAAGGCATTTAAAGTTAACACAAGTGGCAAATTTGTCATTTAAGGTTTCTCCCTAGAAGATAGACGTAAATAGAAAAAGTATAAAACGTTAACTGATTCCGCTTTCCACCCAAAAAAGCATATACTCCCCTCTCACTTCAGAATTGATTCCAGTGCTTGATTCTTTGCTTCCTTCTTCAACTACTTCTACAAATATTGTTTGTTCTTCAGGGGACAATCTGACAATGTAAATAAAATATTCTCAAATTAGAAATTTCAATTCAAATCATGCAATTCAATTTGTCTTTAATTCAAAGCATATCTAGGAGCTTGCTGCTCTGTTCAAGTATCAGCCATGCCTAGAATGGTATTTGTGGCTTGATGCTGGTAACTAAGGATTTATTTATTTATTTTGTATAGATGTCTAACATTCTACTGTTTCTATAAGCATGTAATATGCCTACAAGTGAGCACACAATACAAGTTGAAACCCAAAAGTGATCACGATTAACCCATCCCTCCCTTAACGCTAAATTTTTGTTTTAGTAAATAAATTCATGTGCTGGAACCTTACCCTGAAAGTCTTTGGATATTTTTTTCTTTAATTGTATTTCTCTAACTATTATAATTGTTTGCAATTTAAAAAGAAACATTGTATAATTTAAATTGGACTCTCATCCAACGGTACAAGGGACTCTTAATACTATGCTTTTTTTTTTCCAACGTACCGTTCACTTAAATAAAGATATGAAAGCACCTGGCCTTCTCGAGTTAGTAATTTTGTCCTTGCATTTCTAACTCTTAGGTTGGATTCAGTTTTTCCATTCTTAATTTGTAATTTGTTTAAAAATAAATAAATAAAATCATGAAAAAAAATATTAATACAATATGGAACTGGTGTCATTTTTTAATTTTACTAATAATATTAGTATTTATTTTAGGGGATAAAAAATTTTCAATCTTGAGATTCAAAACAGAATATCACCGGGGTATCTCCCTTTGCTTCTTTTGGGAAGCATGGCCACTGGACCACACAAGTGAATCGCGTAACTAGTTTCACTTTATGCCCAACTCTGCACACTATGTTTCCCACTTTAATCTAGAGTTAATTGCCGTTGAATCCATTCGTTGGCTCTTAACTTGGACAAAAGTTAATGTCCATTTTTTCTTGGAAGAAGAACTTTTCGAATGCGTAATTCTGAAATTATTATTTTTAAATTTGAATTAAATGTGAAAAAGTTAAAAGCAGCAAAATTTAATAATTGAATTGGAAAATGTTATGGGGTGTGTTGAATTGAAAAGTGTACCAATTAATGTTTATAAATTTATTAAAATAAACGTAACAAAAAATCCGTTTAGTGATGCTATTTTTTACTTTATTTTTTGTTTTTTTTAATTATCAGGGATAAAAAATGAAGGATAAGTTATTTTTTGTTTTGTTTTAATTGTTAAAATTTTGAATAATTTTAAATTAAAATAAAAAATCTAATAAATTAAAAAGTATCAATTTTGGTTTAAACTTGTACCAATGATTTTAATTATGGAAAAGTAGGTATAAATCTGTCTTGCATAAAATTAGATGAAAAAAATACTCTAAAATTATATTATTTTAGTAAAATCTCATTGAAAAATATCAAAATATCCTATTTTTAAAGTAATAATGAGGTTGTTTTAGTTTTTTCTTTTGATATTTTATTATAACGACATAATTTAAAGTATTTTTCACCTAATTTTTTTTATACTCATTAATCTCTTTTAATTAATTTGATTTTGAGATGTCAATTTTAATTAAGATTCTTATTTTTTATTGAAAATGAAAATTGTGAATTTTTTGATAAAAAATTTATTATGAAATGTACAATGTATAGTAGAAGAGAAGTTATTTTTTTTAGTAGTTAAGGTATCTCCAGACAAGTTTACATCTATTTCAAAATTAATCTCTTCCTAATTTGATTAAACGCAAAGGAAAATGTTTGGTACACCTTCTAGTTCAATACTTGGTTCAACACTTTTCGGTTTAGTCATTAAAAATATAATATAAATACAGTCAATTTAACCAATTCTTATATCATGTGTGCATAATTATATCATTATACTTGTTTGTTTTTAATTTTAGACTAAAAAATAATGATTTTTTAATGACTAAACTAGAGGGTGTTGAATCAGGTATTAAAATATAGGGTGTACTAATCACTGTTAAAAGGTAAATCATCTAATAATAAAAAATTTATAAAAAAAATATATTTTTATTGATTTTCCTAAAGAATTAAATCTTGTTCAACAAGGAGGAAAGCAAATTTCCTTACTAATTAAACTATATCTCCTTGGGTTAGATGAACAGTCGTTGGTATCCAAAGAAATTGCTTCATAGGTTCACTCATTTTTTTCATTTTTTATTTTTGATAAAAAGTAGGCAAGAAAAGGCAGTTTATATTACTAAACTGAATTTAGTAGACTTATATACAAAGCGTACCCTAAAAATGATCAAATATCTTAATTTGATTAAATAAGAAAAATTTTTCAGAGAACTCTTCAATGATATAAACACCTTTAAGTAACAAATTTATTAACGATTTAAATAATTTAATAATATTCTTTAAATGAAAGTGAAAGATATTAAATTCCTATTACATAATTTGCAAAAGAAATAAATTAAAAGATAAAAAATAATTATTTGTCATTATATAATCCATAATCAAATGTACATATTAAGTAACAAACTTAGATATATAATAGAAAGAGATATAATTAGAAAAAATAGATAATTGTGAGGGAGGATGACTCTTAATATTAAAACATTTATTCATATTCAATAATTGAAATTATGTATTTCAATATAATTTAAATAGCAGAACATTTATTTGTATAATTATACATCATTATAATGAAGTTTAATGACAATGTAACAAATGGTAGATGAGAAAGTGAAGTTGATGTTTTAGAGAGTCACTTTCGGCAGTATAGCTGGATATATGGTTACAAAACACAAACCGCTGAAATCAACCAGAATTCTGATAAGACCAGTAAACAAATATAAAATTCAAGACAAAACTGGAGATCAAGGTGACAGGTGACCCAACTCCTTGGCCGCCACTAGAATTCAAAAGATAATGGCAGAAGGTGCAATTTAGCCCTTCTACGTCCATTGTTGTGGCACATCAGCCCCTCTACCTAAAAGTAGAGCAAATCAGCCCCTCCACTTGACAAAACCCGCAAATCAGCCCTTCTGCTGACGATGACCTCATCAAATGTCATCTTTCCGTCCACATCCTCGTTACTCCGTTACCAAGAAGTGGCTTGGTG